CCAGGGAGCCTTCCCAGTGCTGGTGCTGGGCCAGGGACAGACAGTTCTCTTCAGCCCGAGGAACCCAGCTCCAGTCTGATGTAGGAGGGTGTTTGGCCCTCAGTTTCAAAAGGGATGGGGGGCAGAGGTGGCAGAGCTGACAGCATTCTTACAGTGCTTCCTCCTGGTATTGTTCTATCCTGTCCTTCCAGCTTCAAGCTTGCCCCTTTCTGATATCTTGTTCCTTTCACTCTCCTTCTGCAGAGGCAGCAGACCTCCCTCCACATCGCTGCGGAACACGGCAGGCAGGACATTGCCGAGATGATTCTCATTGCAGGAGTTAATCTGAAGCTAACAGACAAGGTAAATGTCTGCAGGGGTTGAATAGATTCTACGGAGGGAAAATATGGATGGTCTTTGCCATTATTTTTCAAGGAAGGCTAGTAAAAACATTAACATCTGGCTATTTCCAGAGATAAGGCTTTGAAACACTGCTCAATAGGTTATTTTGATGTGCTTTCCGGGAAAGAATTGACTAGTTCTTCGGAAGATAGAAAGCAGTTCACACAATGAGCAAACTTACTCTTCTCAAAGTTGTTCTAGTTCCTTCTACTTGTGCTGTCACTACCAAAGATCTTGAATAACAGTAAATAATATACCTCAAGAATTACAGCACGCATGTTTTAATAGGTTAAAAGTATGTGGTTGGTACAAACCTGGCACTGGTGTCCAGGGCTTTAGCCCTCTAATTGAATCAACAAAAGGAATTGTAGAGGAATCGGACAAGTTGGTGCAGCCTGAAAGCGGGATACGTGCCCAGAAAATGCAGAAAGGGGTTTGGGCAGAGATGGATGCGGTGTCTGTCAGTCGCAGTGGGTTGAAGCATGAACAGACTCCAAGCCACCCGGCTGACACGGCCTTCGGCTGCAGTGAATGTTTGCCACCTCCCAGCAGTCTATGGAACTGCCGTGAGACTCAGCGCAGGGAACACACGTTTTTCTGCATGAAACTGGGTTTCTGCTCACATCTGAGGCTAGGAGTGTTCTACCCGCATGCCTGAAGGCTGGGCTGGCTCACTTTCCTTCACTTTCCTTCACACAGCTTTGAAATCTTGTTCCTTTCTTCTGTACGCTTCTAGATATAAATACAAATCCCACCCCCAACCCAAAATCATGTTCACATAAGGAGTGTAGTTAGATTTTCATGGTCCCATCAGCCTGTGCTTCTCTAGGAGACCTTTCTAATCATGCATGTGTGGGGCCTATAAAATTAATGAGGTTGTGTAAATCACTTTGATTTCACGGGTCAGCAAACCTGCTGTGCAAAAGGCTGTAAAGCGCTGTGGATTGCAGTGCTGTGCTGGTCCTTTGGTGGCTGCACCCATGTTGTGGAGCCTGAAAGCACCCTGCTGTCTGCTGTGGGTTACAGGGCGCTTTCCCAACCGCTCCTGCCAAACGGGCAACAGAGTAGATGCTGCGGAGCCTGGAAACTGGCTCCCCACCCCCTGCAGGCAGCAAGCTCAAAGCTAGCTGGCATCCGAGGTGTTTCCAGGTGGAGAAGGGGTCCTTCATCCTGACTGGGTGCATTGCTCAGTAGGCTGTGCTGCCTGGGTGGGCATGGAGATTGCTCCTCCTAAGCATGCAAGCTCTTTTCCAGCTCGTTTTCCCCCTTCTGATTTCAGCAAGGGAAAACATCTCTGGATGTCGCCGCCCGAGGGAATCACATCAACTTGGCAGACATGATTATCAAAGCTGATCGGTTTTACAAGTGGGAAAAGGTGAGCGGGTTACACCACCCTCCCCTGCATTTTCCAGGTCGGGTGTAGCTTTATTCTTTCTGTTGAGACTCCATATTACCAGCTGTCCAAGGAAAAGAATTATGGGACATCCTGTGAGAGCCTGACCTCTGCTCTCATTACCTTAGTAAGAAAACCAAGTCCTCACCACGCCAGCAACATCTTTTGAAGGCGTTCCTTATTTTGAAAAGCCTCTGCTGTTAAAGACCCTGGGCTGTGCTGAAGGGAACAGGGTTTTTCAGGTTCTCTGGCAGCTGTTCCCAAAGCCATGTAGAAGGGAATGGGGGAGCCTTTTCCCAGAAGGAGAAACTGAAGCACCGAGCAGGAAAATGCTTGGCCTGAGGTCACTGAATGGGTTGTGGGGAGTTTTTCAGCGGTGGAAAGGAGACACCTCTTGCGAGCAGAGTGATCAGTTCTGGTTGGAGTCATACAGCCCACTTCCCTCTCAAGCTTCCCCATGGCTGGGGAGGTTTCCTGGCTGTGTTTCCCAGTGTGGCCCAGCAGACTCTCTCCTCCCATGGCCCCATGTGCTGCTTGGCCACATTCCCCATCTGAAACCCTGACAGCCCCAAGCCTGTGCCCAAACCAGGTTGAGCAGGGAGGGTGCTGGAAGTCCAGCTGAACACTGCATCCATTGCATCTTGGAAAGACTTTGGGCATCTTCCCATACTGGGAAAGACAGTGCTGGGAGACAAAAGGATGGAAAGGAGGGCACAGGCCTGCGTATCAGGTGCACCTTCGGGAGTAACGCTGGTGTATCAGGCCCTTGCACAGGCTTCCCTAGAGAAAGTCATTTGGCCTCTTTGCAGCCTGGCAAAGAGTCTCCCACATTGCAGGAGAGCAAGGAGACTTAATTAATGGATTCTGCATAGAGGCCCCAGATAAAAGGCACAGTAGAAATGCAAATTGCAATCCACCTGGGCTTCCACAGCAAAACCAGCATTGGTTAATGTGTGTGATGAGAACAGAGCCAAGTGAAAAAGAGGTGCTGTGTCAGAATGAACTCACAGCGCCCTGCGGGGCTGAGCAGGATGACAGGTGCATCTGACACATCCCAAAACCCCTGTTCTGGCTTTGCAGGACAATCTGAACAGTGACTCCGACTCCTGGGTGGCAAAGCACTTGACCTTTAAGCAGGACCACAGGCTGGAAACTCAGCACATTCGCTCGGTGATGTGGAGGTTGGCAACCAAGTACCTCAAACCCGGCGAATGGAAGAAGCTGGCACATTACTGGAAGTTCACAGATGCCCACATTAGGGCCATTGAGCAACAGTGGACAGGTACAAAACCCAGCCCAGGTGTTTTCCCTCTGTCACTTGGACTGTGTTTCTAGATGAGTCTGCAGTACTAACAAAGCATAAAGAAAACCAGTTGGCTTATGGGAAACAGCCAAAAGGTTAGGTTAAAAATCTTGATTTTAATGAATGTGGAGTTAGCTACACACAGGAGTTTGTCCAGGAGTAAAGCTCACAAGCGTGGAGGTCCACTGCTCACCCCTTCTGATTGCAAGACCTGATTCTTGGGTAGGACAGAAGAAACTTGCTGGGTTTAGCTTTGTCATTTAAGGAGCTGACCCAAGAAGGCGGTGAAGGCCCATGTAGAATTTAAGAGAGATGTTAGCAGAAGCAGGTTCTGAGTTTCAGAAGCAGATGACTGCAAGGGCTCCCGCAGTTCGCATGATGCAAGCGAGGGGCTAAGCTACGCGCTGAAGGCAGAATTCTCTGTTGCCAGGAAAGGCTGTAACAAGCCCAAGCTCATTCGTGGCCTGCTCCATTAAGTTTAACGTGAATCAGGCAGTCACGTCACAACCAGGAATTAAGCTAAACTGTACTTTAGGGCATCCTAGTAAAATCCAAAGAGGAGAGGGGGGTATCCCAACCCACCAGTTCAGAAAGCCGCTTTGGTCAGGGCCATGCGCTGGACGTGGAGGATTTCATCTGCGCTTCAACCTTGCCAGGTGCTAAAAGCTACAGGGAGCACGGCCACAGAATGTTGCTTATCTGGCTCCATGGCGTGATCACGGCAGGGGAAAATCCAATCAAGGGACTGTACGAAGGCCTCGTGGGTATCGGAAGAAGAGATTTAGCAGGTAATACTTCTGTCTTCCTTCAAATACAAACACACTGAGCACTAAATTCTGCGGTTACACAAGCACAGGGGAAACCTTGAGCGAAGCCAATTCACAGAGCTGGAGGGTACCCTGTCCCCTCGTACCATTACACAATTCTTTCTCTTCATTTGGTGAATTATCACATCCTGCCACGGCTCTGTACTTTCTGTGCAGCACGACGTTCTCTTTTGCAGAAAGCATTCGGAAAAAAGCCAACGCGGACTCTGCCTCTCCACGGAAGTGCATAGCAATGTAACGCCAGGAGGGCACCCGTGGTTCCTTCAACTGACGCGTCCTCAACTTCCCCGAGAGCACTTACACCAACGCTTCTCTGGTCTCAAGGCAGCTGCAACCTAAGGGCGTCTCGTGGCGAGCCACCGGCAGCGCTGCTGCTTCCTCCTCGGTCTGAAGCCAGAAGGGCGTCGCACACGCCAGCGGGTAAAGCACCCCCTTACCCAGAAGGGAGTCAGCTGTTGCGTGTGGTCTGGGTGCTGCAGCGAGTCCAGGGGTGAGTCTCACTTGTACTCAGAGTATCCAGAAATACTGTTCTACTGTAACTGGTTTACATCACATTTTTGTATATAAAAATCATCAAATTTTAAGTTATTGATGGGAAAGCCTTTTTTTTCTTTTTTTAAGAAATTTTCTTTACTTACCTTTTTTGTGGGTGTGCTTCACTTGTGTCTTGGATGTGTTTAGAACTTCCCTATTAGAGTGGGAATCCAAGAAGGAAAGTCAAGGCCACTACCTGGTGCCTTCAGAACCTTAAGGGTTGTGATCCTTAATGTTGCAGCTCTCCACAGTTTCAGAGCAGAGCATCACCACACACTGCTTACAAACGTACATTAATGTACATCTCCTGTTTATAAATCCAATCAGAAACTTCTTTAATCCCTAAGTTACAGCTTGAAATGTGTAAGATAACCAATGACCATTCATCTACAGCCTCTGACAAGGACATGCAGCTTTCTCAAATAGCAGTTTGTCATGTAATACTTCATATTTATTTTTTACAGTTTCAAGGGGAAAATAATGTATTCCAATAAATCCAGATTTTACCCTTAAATTTGTCAAGCTATGCTTTAATTATTCTGTAGTCACAACAAGAGACACGGGCCGGAAGTGAAGTTTTATTGAAAACCATTTTTAAACAGCAAGAAAAGTTAAAAATTCAAAGGCTTTTATGTTCAAACTTGCAACACATGAAACAAGTAAGTGACAGCAACATTGGCACTTAAACGTCTTTCAACCCAAAATCTTCAACAAAAATATATGTCAGCTTATAAGTACACGATCTGCAGGTGGCAATATAAACAGCTGAGTGGAAAATATAAAAAAAAGAAATACTGTTCTGCTTAAGAATATGACAGTGAAGGACTTTGGTAGCAAAAATGTCTTTTGTTTTTAAAACTGTAGTCTTCAAAGATGCTTCCTTGAATTCAAAGACTAAAAAGGAAACAGATCTATCCCGTTACGCTGCTGGAGGCGACTCTCCGTGGGTAGTTCACTACTGATCCGGCTGGAATCACACAGTGATAATCGGCTGACGTAAGGAAAAAGGCAGAGTGGGAACGGTTGATTGTACACAGGAAGACCACCAAACCAATTCCTTGTTTTCGGCGGCACTCCACCACCTACTGCTCATCTTGCTCATTGCTGGCCTGAAGACTGATCTTCTGGACTTCCAGCTCTTCCGCGCTGACCATGGAGGGATCGATGGCTGCGTAGCGGGTGCCGTGGAACTGCAGTAAATGGATCTGTCAGACACGGAAAAGAACACTGAAACAGGTGCAGAAGCATAAGGTTTTGGTAAAAGAGAAAACATTCCTTCTGAGTCATTTTTACGAGGCTGAAATCATGGGTCTGAAGCATGAGACAGAAAGGATGGAGGAAACCAGGCAACAGCCAAACCCCCAAAGGCTCCATGAAGGTGGCTGCTCCCAGCCCTGCCTCCTTCACCAGCGCCCCGGGAGCCAGAGCAAACAGAACTCAGGCAAGTTCAGAAACAGAAACAAGCAGAGAAAAGTAGTTTCCTTTTCAGTTTTCCTTTTCCCAGAACTGCTGTTCTGGCTATATGTGTTACCAGACCAGGTTTGAATGCAGAGACTCACTTGGATGTACAGGTTGACTTCAGCACTCCTGCAGAGATACGGGAAGTTGCCTCCTGTTTTGAGGTGAGCTCTCCTGGCATTGGGATACAGCTTATACATTTCTTCTTTTGCTTCAGTCGAAAGCGCGCTTTGGTCAAACACCTACGTAACAAGTCGCAGCAGTTAGTCCCGAATCCAATCGTGTTTTAAATCAGACTGGATATGGGCTGCTACTAGAAGGAATTCTCAGCTTCTCCACGAACAGCGTTCATGAAACTGAAAACAAGCCAACGCTTTGGGCGTGGACAGCTAGAAAGCCAACACTGTGATACGGAAACACATGGCTGTTATGGCATGGAATGTCCCATTCGTAACTTAACACGGAAGAGTCACTGCTGCCCAGCCAGTAGGTGGTTTATCTAAATACAGAGTTAGATGCTGCGATTATTTATTAAGTTACTAACAGCATATCCAGGCCATGGGGAGGAAACTGTTTTTAAATAAAAGGATTACGTTAAGGTTAACTTACATCCATAATGGTTACCGAGATGTCTCGGATTTTATGAGGTTCTACGTAGGAGTTCTGGCAGTTGAGGGTAAGTCTTGAAGCGAGCTCACTCTGGCCCAGACTCTCCAGCTTTCAGTAGAGAGAAACACTGATTAACAACATATTTCCCTGCAGGCAATTAATGCAATATTAATGATACCACCAAAGAGAAGTTAGTTTTAAAGGGAAACATGACTGCACCTAGGGGAAGATTGTAATTCCAACTTAGTATTACCCTGAAGGGGACAAATGCTTAAAGCATGCTCCTCTGGGGCACGGCCTCCAGAGGCATCCCAGCACCTCCTCTTCCATCTCCATTAGTAACTGTCTCCCTTCCGACCTACAGAAAGGAGCGGAGCTGTGTGGCAGACAGTCACCACACCAGTTCCAATGCTGGGGCCGTGAGACTCAACACCTGCCAAGGATCCAGTTCCCATCTCCTCCCTTCTGGGTAAGTCAGTGGAGAAAGCGGCAGAAATATCTACAACCTCCTGTTAAGTAACTCTACAGAGATTGCCGTCGTTAGAGTACGCAGCTACCTACCCTGTCCACCATGAAATCAATCCCATCGGCCATTTCAGGATCTAGAGGACCAGATGCAAAATTCCCAAGGACAATCTTCTTCAGCATAAAAGCAGGCATCAGCCAAAAGCTGAAACAGAAATAAGACGTAACCATCTTCAAGCACCCAGGTCTCCAACATTAAGGTGCTTTGTGGTAAGCACTCCCGTTTCCTCGCACTGACTTCGTGCTTTCACTCCAAATGAAACCCTGAGGAAGCGTCAGGAGCAGAGAAGCGGAAAGCCCCGCAGCTAGGTGCTCAAAATGCTCTGGGAAGCACTAGTCTTACACTGCAAGAGTATTTTAAACATGATGAAAAACACTTATCTCGCTCCAAGTGTTTTTGCTAGAAATCAGAGTTCTTCAACCTGACCACACATCCACAGGATGACTCCTCTCTCAAATTCCACACTCCCAGTTGCAAACATTTTCATTCTCCTCATGGTGTGGCTTTACAAGTCACAACTATTCCATCCCGCACCTCTCTCACACAGGCTGGAAACAGGTCAGACACGTGTCCAACCGGATCCCTGTCGCATTTCACTGCGGAAAAACTAGTGCCACGAATGTGACCGCTTGTCTCTGCCTCCCTTACCTGTTCGCTGTCCAGGTCTGATTGAAGATTGAAGTGTCACTAAAGGAATTACACAGGATCAGAGATTGAACTCTGGGAGATTTGTGTGTGTATTCAGCAAATTTTTGAGCCAGAAAACCTCCTAGGGAAGCTCCAAAAAGGTGAACCTAATTCAAGGAAAAAAAACAGACCACGTGACGTTTGTGACACAGGTGACCCCTATGCAAACATTTCATTATTAAAATACAGGATTCAAGTTTTACCCTGCCCTCATAACCCATTTTTAAAAAGAAACAAACTCTTCTATTCAGCTCCTGGGTTTACGAGCGATACAAATGTGATAAATACTGAAAAAAGGAAGCGTTTCCAGGTCAAGGTTCAAATTTCTGTTTGCTCACTAACTTAATGAAAAACCCAAATGCTTCACCTTGCCTTCAATAGCTGTTTCAGTCCAAATCACTTCACTGGGGCATTCCGTACCCCAGGGGTCAGGAAGGCTAACTTCCACAGGATCTCATGGCAAACTAGTTAACCAATGCAGTTTCATAAGCCTAGAACAGCAGTTGAATTTAGACCAAGTATGATAATTTTCAAGGGTATTTACCTTCAAAAATAAACTGGTTTCACAAGTAAAATTGCAACAGCCTCTTTATTTACAGGCTACGTTTGTGTGTTGTATTTTATACACCTGCTCTGACAAGAGACTCTTTCAAACATCAGGTTTTTACTACAGCTACACGTCCATTTCCCCACCTCTGAGCACTCACTTTATCCAGCTGAAGGTGGTCTAACAGTTTTCTGAATCCATCACAGAACTCAAGGTGATCCCAGTACACCGGATACTGCAACTAAAACAACAGGAAATTGGAAAAAGCCAGTGTCTGATCAGTACCTGCCAGCTGCCTGCTCCAAAGTTAGACCAATTCTCACAGATCCATGGTTGCAGTTCAGCTCGGGAGCTTAGGAGCCTCAAAGGAGCATGCTGTTAGGATCTCCAAAGTCAGACCAATTCTCACATTAAAAGGTTTCAAGACAGCAACCGGCCTCTCCTGTGTCACAAAGCTCAAGGTCCCTACAGCCAGAGGGGGCGAATGCCTCCCCCTCACTTGCACGAAAACACACAACGAAGTACCGCAGGGCGGGTTTGCTGGGGCAAGCGCAGCATTGCTTCATTCTGGAGGCAGTGGGAAGAGAGGCTGGAATGATTCTTCAGCAGTTTTGGTGCACGGAGAGTTGGCAGGTGCAGAAATCATTAACTGCTGCAAGAGGTAGGGCAGTACTCCTGAAGCCAGGGCATTTAGCAGAAACACTGTTGTACAGATCCATGGTTGCAGTTCAGCTCTACGAGGCTTTGGGCAAACGCTGCCATAAACACTGAGCAGATTTCAGCCTGGGTCTGCACGCCAGACACTCTGGAGTACAACTTCGAATCAGTTATTTTGTGGATTCTCCTTAGTCAGCACCAAAAAGTTTATTATCCAACCTCTGATTAGAGCAACAAGCGCCAGTACGCTAACTTTGGCGCAGGACCGAGAATACTCACAGCAATAACTCTGTAGCCCCATCCAGTCAGTGCCAAAATTTGCTGGAAAAATACGTCCGCAGTTCCGCTTACAGGAGGAAGAAATATGAGTGGGCAGCGAATGCTCCTCACGAGGCTTTGGGCAAACACTGCCATGAACACTGAGCAGATTTCAGCCTGAGTCTGCACGCCAGATACTCTGGAATACAGCTTCGAATCAAGTATTTTGTGGATTCTCCTTAGCCAGCACCAAGAAGTTCATTATCCAATCTCTGATTACAGCAACAAGCGCCAGTATGCTAACTTTGGCGCAGGACCGAGAATACTCACAGCAATAACTCTGTAGCCCCATCCAGTCAGTGCCAAAATTTGCTGGAAAAATACGTCCGCAGTTCCGCTTACAGGAGGAAGAAATATGAGTGGGCAGCGAATGCTCCTAGGTCCTGCATCGTAGAGTGACCACACTTTACTGTCGTCATCATCTACTATTATCTGGAAAGAGAGAGGCACAAGGGGGGAAGAAATGAGAGAAATGAGGTTCTTGAGCCAGCTTCCAGGATTGCTTCTACAAAATTCCTGTCATTACAATATTCAAGATCTCTTTGAACAAGCCCATCTTTTACTCTCCTTCACAACAGCTTCCTCGAAGGCTGTTTAACTGGAATGACGACGTTTGTGTGAGTACTGCTGGAAACAGAACTGCGGCCCTGCACTGTCAGACCAAACGCGGTGCGTGTCCCACTTAAGCTGGATAACGACCACGACTCTGCGCACTTGGCAGCATGACACACAGTGTCTCGCGGGAGCTCACCCTTCTGCAAACAATCGGAGAACGCTGCAAGTGCCGAAAGAGTGAATTAGGTTGGTTTTACAGCGATGGACTTTACTTCAGAAATTGCACCCAGAAAAAACACTCTCCTCCTTTCTGAGGAAGCGTGGCTAACTGAAATTTGCAATGCTTTGCTCTGGATTTTAACTCAGAGGGCCTTGGTTGGAATGGCGGTACATCTGGATCTGAAAACTGACACAGAAATAAAACACAGGAACAGCAAGGCTGTGTCCCCAAGGATCAGGATTATGCAACAGTCCGCACACAGAAAAGCATGCTTGGGAAAGGAGCCACCATGCCACGGCCCAGGAGAGACGCAGGAGCTCTGCTCTAGGTCCTGAGAGCAAGGGCTGTAGGCTGGAAGCGCCAGCGCTGCCCCCGGGGACAGCTTTTTAAACAGCCATCGACATTTGCATTCGCTGGCCAGCTCTGGATGCATGCAGGCCTTTGAATGAAGCAGCTAACACCACAAATTATTGATCTGAAACAGTTATGGCCGGCTGCCAGGCAGACACACACAGCTCCCAGATCAGCGCGGCAAGGCTGACCAGGGAAGAAAAATGCTTCCATCATCTGGCAGCACCTCGGGAGCATCTGGAGTGCCTAGGACATGTGGCTGGCTGACGGGGCTTATTCACACCCGAGCTGCTATCCTTAGCGAGCTGTTCCTCATACAGTGCCCATTGTGGGGCAGAATCTAGAAGCCTTAGCACAATTAGAATCTCCAAAAGTACAGGAATTAGGTAAAAGTCATCTTTTCTAGCAATGCTGAAGCCTGACCTGTTTTTACAGGACCTGTTCTACCAACAAACCGTTGCGTATGCTTAGGATGCTCTTTCAAACCTCTACAACCCAGCAAAACCATGCAGCTCGTACCAGATCCACAAGCACAAACCTCTGGGGAAAGCCTGCATCACACAGAGGGAATTCATCTCCTCCGTGTCAGGGTTTTAGAGCTTCCTGAATAGCAATGTACAAGCACAATTCGCTTTTCCATCACCGCAGTTAAGCTTCTAGGGAATCAGAGAACAGCATATCCCAAATCAGCTTTGCTTGACTAACAAATCTGCCTGAAATAAAGCCAGTATTTCAGGCTCCGGGAGCATGTGAGAAATCACATGATACTTTTGTTTTGTGAAGTCTTTAGAGAAAAAAAAAGATGGCATACCAAAGCTTCCAGACCACTGCAACCATTTAAAAATAAACCTTGTCCAAAAGCCCTCCCAACCCCAACCCTTTGCACACAACTCTGCAGCTCCAGGCCACACTGTTCTCAGCCGTTATTCCAGCAGTAACGTTGGAGCTGTTCAGGGGGTGGCTACTACGAAGTTGACCTTTACGAGAATTTCCAAAGCTGAAGCATATTCCTTAAAAATCAGAAAAACAAAGTTATTTCATGCAAAGGGAACCGAGGCAGAGAGGCAGCAGTTCTTTCCTCGAGCCCAGACAAAGAATCCACGGGTTTAGACATTTGTTCTGTTTGGTTTCTGGCCACATGCTGGACAGTTTAACTCCAGTTCCCAAACAAGGCTGAGCACCATGTAGGCAGGCAGCAGCGTGGTTTGGTAGGTCACCAGCCTTTTTCTTGTCTTGGTCAGTTAGTCAAGATCCCCTACAGTCTAAAGGGTAAAATCAGCACTGCAGTGGCACAGGGAGAGAACCTCCCCCTCGAGTTCAGCAGAGCCAGGGTGTCCTCCACTGAAGGCTTTTAGGAAGGACTTGCCCAAGTCTCACAGGCAAAGCTAAAGACTTTAGTTTAAAAATGTTATTTTCTGTGCTGTACTTCCTATATCTGACAAGAGCAGGACGGGTGCCGGAGCTGTGCATTTCCTGTTCCTCTCAGGTGCATCTCAACCCGTTTTCAAACCAACTGCTCTGGCTCTGCTCCCCTAGGTCAATCCGACAGCAGCGACGCATGCTTACCAGCAGTAACGATGTTAGTCATTCCTCCCTCCGTGCTGCATGTGCTCTGCCCATACTTCTGGGGAGATGATGCAAGCAAATATATCCCTAAAGACTGCTTCAGAGATGAATTTTATCTTCAAATTATGCTTTTTTTCCCTTCTCTCTCCAGAAACCAGGACTAGTTTGTTTATTTCTACCTTCTTCATACACCACATCCATCACTGAGGCATCACTTGACTTTTGAGTAGACAGACTCACTCAAGAGGGTAAGGCATTCCCAAATCTGAAGGTCACCAGGTCACCAGCAGCTTCAGTTTACACATGTCCCCGTTTACGAAATCCTGAGTAGTCAGCAGCAGCTCAAGGCAGTGGCCTCTGGCAGCGAGCTGCAGCATCACACAGCCCCCATGGCAGCAGCAACACTGTCTGTTGCAACCACAACCTCCAGCTCCTTTCATTTACGTACTCCATCCCATAAAGCAGTGCCTCAGAGCATCCCACGTCTTCCTGCTGAAATACTGTCTCTGGCCTGTGCTGACCCGGCGAGGCATTGCCTGGAGGCACCAGCATGGCATGGACAGACCCGGCAGATCTGGTACTGGCCAGAAACAGAAAGAAGCCGGACAGCCAGATCCTCAGAGGGCACGCAGAGTCAACTGCAATGGGTCTTTCTTATTTACAGAACACACAAACTGGCAAAAATTAATGAGAAACCCTGAAAGGAAAATCCTACAGCCTTTCCATAAAGGTAGTTTCTTAGAGAAAGCTACACACCACTCCATGGAAATAACACTGGGCATATTTAAGCGTTGTTCCTTAGGTTTGGGACCCAGTCCCTTTCAAGTGGCCCAGCAACATCCAACTTGCTCTCGGGAGAGGTAATGCTGCTCTTGCCTCCTGCCAGCCCCATCCCCGTGTTCCTGCAGCCTGCACAGCCATCCAGAGCAGGGAACCAAACCAGCCGGAAGCTCGCTTAGCCCTAAAACAAACTATAACCCCCCCTCCAAGCTAACCAGGTCACCGACTCTGCTCGGCTTGTATGGTTACACGAGCAACCGCGCCTGCAGCAGCAGACCAGGGCGTAAGTGCAAGACTGCTTCCGTCTGGCAGGAGCCTGGGATGTGCTGCAGGTTGGTCTGTGACCACAGCCTCATCAAGCTTTATCTGCCAAAGGTATGCGTGGGAGCTAGCCCGGGCCAGAGGCTACGTACCCGTACGGCACCCCACGCCCTGTGCCGCTGGGCATGTAGAAAGCGGAAGCTGGGGCACTGCACACCTCGAGCCCTCTCCTGTGGTTCAGCGAAAGGAAGTGGAGAAATCCAAGCAAGAGGGGAAAGTGGTTGGCTGGACAGCACGATTAAGATCTCTAAGGGACACACAGCGGAAGCAACTGTTTTTTTCCACTGTGGTTAAGGCATCTTTCCACTCATGAACGCTGTGTGCAGCCCGATTGCCCAGGAGTTGCCTTCAGACGCACTGCTTCAGTCCGAGGACGATGGGTAGGAGTGGCAGAGGCAGCGCCGGCAGCATGGCCTTGGTGTGGTGCAGTGCACACGGAGGCCCGGCTTGTGGTCTCCAGCACACACTATTTCCTCGGAATCTCCTCCTCGGGCATCAGGATGCCAGGTACTGCTGCTGTGGCTCACACCTGTGAGCCTCTGCTCCCCAGCACCGCATGCAGAAGTGACCTCGGAGAAGCACGTAAAAATGAAGAGTGTGCTTTCACGCCCTCGTGGGACAACAGTTGAGGAGACGGGCCAGGACACCAGCACAGCCACAACCATTCTGCATTAACCAAACAGCTTAGTCTCCCCACTACAAAGCAAGAGGAGACATTTCCCCCACGAGTCGATTACAGTTGTACGTACCTTTTTAAGAGGAACTGTGCTTCTGAACCAGTTATAGTCAGGAGAGACTTTAATCTCTCCCATGATGTTTAGGACAAACACCTCAGTTTAGGTCAGCCTGAAAAAGACATAGAGTTAGAAATCAATACAACAGCTTTACTGTAGGTAACACTCAAAAGTTGTGCTGTGTACATAATGCATTTGCTGGGTCAGTCTGCTCTTACCAGCAGATTGTAGTACCTCTGACTCACGCCAAGTTTACTTATCCTCAGTTTTCATCATAAACCATTTAATTATTCTCCCAAGAGGCAGTCACCTGACTGCCTTACTGTACCAACCTAATTATAAAGCAATGCTGGTTGTGTAACAGCATTCCCACCTAACAGACGTCGAGCAGAACATAGAATCATAGAATCATGGAATGGTTTGGGTTGGAAGGGACCTTAAAGATCATCTAGTTCCAACCCCCCTGCCATGGGCAGGGACACCTTGCACTAGACCAGGTTGCTCAAAGCCACATCCAGTCTGGCCTTGAAGACATCCAGGGGTGGGGCATCCAAAACATCTCTGGGCAACCTGTCCCAGTGCCTCACCACCCTCTCCGTGAAGAATTTCTTCCTGACATCTAATCTAAACCTCCCTGATTTCAATTTATACCCATTCCCCCTTGTCCTGTCACTACAGGCCCTTGTAAAAAGTCCTCTCCCAGTACCCTTGTAGGCCCCCTTCAGATACTGGAAAGCTGCAATGAGGTCTCCTTGGAGCCTCTTCTTCTCCAGGCTGAACAAGCCCAGTTCTCGCAGCCTGTGTTGCAGGCTGTACATGGCTTAAAAAGCTAAAGTATGGCTTTAATTCAAAGCACGCCAAATTTATATTTAATAAATAGTTGTACAATTCACTCAGCAGTTCAGACAATAGCCTTATTTCATGAACCTAATGCCTAAGTATTCAGACCACATTCTTCCATCTCAATATAACTGACCCAAAGGAGTCCCAAAGCCCATCGGGAACATCAGCTGATCTGAGGCTTAATTTACAGAACAGCCCCGACGTTTTCATTCTACACACACAGAAGCTGACTCTTGTCAGGAGTTCCCAACAAAGATACCTTTGAAGCACATCACTTAATACAGAACAAATTGATTCAGAGTTGGGCCCTCAGAGGAATGCCACTCGTTCACTCTGAAGTCAGAACGTCCTAGCAAACCCAGTAAATGTGTCTTCTAAGGCTCCATTAATTTGTAATAAACACTTAGGTAAACTCTAAATTGAACTTTTTTTAAAGCAGTGAGAGACCATCAGCTTCCATTTATACAGCAGATGGTATCAAACAGTTTGGAAGCTTGCAGACTCAATAGCTTCACGCTGAAAGCCAACTGCCTCAGGAGATCATTTTCATGCATTCGCACAGAGCACAATAAAACAAAGCAACCTTTGCTCTTGTTGCTCAACAGTTGCCAAGTATAAATCAATAGGTTTTGTTTTTTAATTCTTCAGAAAATAAGACCTGGGCATGTTCTGTGAATCACTCCAATTCATTTCTCCCTGCAGGAAAGCTGCCGGTGCATGGGTTTAGCTCCTCAGGTTACAGATGGATTAAGTGTTATTCACCATTTCCTCATATTTCAGTCTTCATTTGCCATTTTCTGTACTTGGGAAACATGCATTTTAAAAGGGAAAGTACGTTCTAAATTGCAAGAGGACACATGTCTTTCCCAGAGCAAGTGATACACATTTCATGTCTAACAAGCGTGTAGGAAATTCAGCTGTGTGGCCATTTTTTCAACGTTGCATGGCTCTCTTTTGGTACTCATGTCAACTATTCTGCTCTTTGTCATAGGCTGGCAGCAGGTAAAATTCCTGTGGAGGTTAAAAAATACCTATTCCCCCAGCCTGCAAGGCACAGCAGGCACAAAGATGTGTTACTGGACTAAGGGGGCAGCTGGTCCTTAGAGAAAGGAAACGGCAATTTAGTCGAATTCCTATAACCACGCATTAACTGGTTATCAAAAAGCTACTCAGCAAACCACAGTGTGACAGAATTATAGCAGAAATAAATTACAGCAAATGCCTTAAAGCGACAAGTTCTCTTTGAGGATTAGATTGCAGCAGGGCCAAGAAACACAAGTCACGGTCAAGGCCTCACACTAGGAACTACGGACACAGAGGCACAGGAGAGGGAGACTTTCTGCTAGTAATCCTGGTCTTTCAGCCCCGTTAAGATAATCTGTGGGCCGGCACGCCCCTTGGGAGCGTGAAGCTGTCTGTCAGACTAGGTAAGGGACAGGCACGGATGCAGATGAACGTTGTGCTGCCCTTGGCTCGCGCCAGGGCGGGTTACGAGTCCAACTGACACCGAAATGCTGAGCTTCCCAGTTCACCTGATGTCACTTGTGGAAGCAAACGGCTGGTCACCAGGACCAGGGCTGATCTCCCCCAGCTCCCTTCTTGTAAAGGTACATCTGCAACCCCCCCTCCTAAGGACTGCGCCCCTTTTAAAGCAAGACCAAACGTTTTCTCTTTGATTATAGAATGTTTTACTGAAGTCAACGTCCTATTACTATTTTTTTTCCTTGGGGCAGAAATGTGGCATTAAATTTGCATACACAAATACTTATGTCAACAACAACTTGGTGCTCTTCCAGCCGCAGAAGAGTTGAACCATGAACATGAAACAGCAAATCAGCCAAGGAAGGTAACTCTGATCACAAAGAGCCTCGTGCTGTTCACGACCCAGCCTCTAAGGACCCACATTTCATTTTAGTAAAGCCAAACCATCTGAAGAACTTTATCCTCTTAAAAACAATTCCTCTAAGGCAAGAATTGCCTAAGGACGGGTTCAGAGCTCTTGACAACATTATCCTTCAAAGTTGTTCCCACTACACTAGTAACACTTTCCATTTGTTACAGATTTAGGAGGATTTTGGTCCTGCCACGAGAGAGGAAACCCCTGTCGGGGCAGATCAGACAAGGGGTGACCTGCTCCTCTTCCCCGTGCTGTGTCTGCCTGGGCCAGGGTGCCACGCAGCCACCCTCCCCCTGCACTGGCCATGCAGCGCCCACTCCCACGAGCCAAGAGACCTGAATCAGCAGCACTGAGAGATGACGGAGGCTGCAGGCAAGCACCAGGAGATGCAGGGGAGATGCCAGGGCTGCGGGTGCTTTATGAACGCCGAACACAGGAAATGGGGAAGAAGTTATGGATAACAGGCGCTGCAGCAGGCACCTTCCTCTCTCCCTAGCATCATTCCCACCTACCCCAGGAATATCCCCACTCCCCAACCACAGCCAGCTCCCCAAGCTTTGCAGAGAGAAAGGGGCAAAACCCCTCTCAGCACCCCAACCCAGGCTCTCCCGCCCGCAGTACAGGCTGAGGTGGCCCCTTCCCCTTACAGCTTCCCCGAGTAGATGATTCCCGAAGCTGAGCTTTGGGCTCCCTGCTGGGCCGAGTCCCAAGTCCCCCCTCCGTGGCCCGGAGCCCCTCAGGGGTCGGGATAAGCTCATTTCAGAGTCTAAAAGACCTTCCCACACCCAACGCCTCCTCATAGCCCCTCCACCCCTACGGTACTGCCCCGTCCAGGCAAAATGCTGTCCCGGAGCCTGACAGTCACCCCGCCCCC